CGTATTTCTAGGCTGGATTATGCGTACTTGAAAAGGTACGCATAATGTATAGACTATTTAAAATGATGTGAATCTCCCTGTTCTCATGCCACTTTCAATTGGCTGTGTTGTTATACTTTTTAGGTCATTAATCTTTCTGTTGGTGATTACTGTGTTGGTGTGTATAAACTTTAGCAGCCTGGAAGACGAAAAAAGAGGGACAAGGATGTTTTCTGTTTTAAGCATCACTAAAACCCCTGGACCAAATCTAGGGAAACCTACCACAACTTTTCCTTTCTCTGTTCTCCTGCTTAACTTTGGGCTACTCAGTTAGGACTTGTACCAGGGGAGAAATGAATGAATCAGTTTCACTCTTTAGATAACTGCTTTATGAAATGTTTTGATGAGAAAGTGGGGTGAAAATTACTGGATTACTGGATAATGTGAGGATTTCTAAGTCTTTGGATTTCATGAATAACTCTCCTTTGTTGCCAGAGGTATTCAGTATTCTATATCTTACTGTTATATTACTTTAAAAAAGTCATTTAAAGTGATTTCCTTTTATATTTCTGTGAGGATTAGGGAGAGCCAGAAAGAACTTTTTAATCATTTAATTTTTCTTTTTGAATTCATAGATTTTGGTGACCCTATTTCCTTGGAATTTAAATTTAAAAAGCAGGTAGATGAGAACTGGGTTCTTTGATAAAAACACTGGTATTTTAGCTATTTTTTTTTTACCTCCTTTGGCCTTTTAAAAATACTTTGTGTTGCTAGTGTTGAAAGTTGAAATACTGTGGTCTTATAGAGGCATTTCACATCTATTCAGCTATGCCAGGTGCAGGTAGGAGTAGGGGATACAGTTATATATTCAGGTTTCCTTTGTGTAGAGGGGTACCACTGGCCTAGTGCCAAATTAAATAGGTTGCTTTCATTTTCTTGAGGGTTTTGGTATGTTGAAACCTAAATATGGATTAATATATTCTAGAATGTAGTCTTGGCTAGTGGTGGTAAATACACACACTGGAAATAAATATGTGTAGGACTTTGATTCATATATTTATTTTAAATATTTAAGGGAGAATGAGAGAATGAGAAGCCAAAGCTGGTCATATTATAACTCACATATTATTTGAGAAGTTACATCAGATTTGAGGGGTACAGAAGAAGCTCTTTTAGCTTTCTTACATTTTATTTGTTCTTTTCCTACCTCTAAAGAAAAATTACCATAATATGAGTCACCTGATAGTAGATCTGATTAAATAGGTCCAAAGTATCAAAAAATAAATATAATAAATATATCCAAGTTGAGAGTAGAGGGTGGTGATGGAGGTAGACTTTTGTAGACAGAACCAAAATCCCAGCAGAAAGAAAAGTGCTAGGTAGACCATCAAAACACAGGATTTTTTTGTATGTATTCACATTTATATGAAATTTTATAGGGTCTACTAAATCAAAGTATACTAATTATAAACATATTCCCTAATTAATTTATTTTTCCAGCATTTTTTGATCAAATTAGGTAAGTAGATTTTATATCTATATCTACATCTGTAAATCTTGATAAACGCATGTGTTATATCTAGTTTTTCTTGTATTTAGCAATAATTAAAATTTTGTTTTTACAGTTAATTTAACCATCAAATTACTGTTTCCTAAATAAAAGTAACTTTTTTGTTTGACAATTTTAAAAAGGAATATTTTAAAAGCCTATTATATTTAGTCCTGAACATTTCAGAACACTGAAGAAAATTTGTTTCTTACAATTAGCTCATTTGAATCTTACTCCTATTAAGAAAATCTCTCATTCCTTGGTGACATGCTGTCTATTTGTGGCCATGTTTCTCTGAAAAAATAAACAGTAGCCATTCTAGTAAAAAATTCATTTCGGTTTCTAAGGCATTTTTAAAAAATTCCAAATATATCAAATATCCACAGAAGGTTGAAGGTGAAGTCTTTGTGTTTCCCATTGGGAAGTTCACTTCTTCAGGAAAATATTGTTCTGAATACTTTTTCCTTTATGAAAGTCTGTGCTTTTCTCTCTGAGGGTTATGTGAATTGGTTTATGTAAAATGAGATGTGAATCATTACTAAGTCTCAAACCAGACTTTCCCCTGGAGGCTTGAAGAGTTTCAAAGAATAAGTATGAGGAATAAATCTTTCTTTCTGTGTGTGTGTGTCTCTCTCTCTCTCTGTCTCTTTCTCTTTCCCTGGTGGTAAAGTAGTGAGGTATTTCCTGATGTAAACCATAATGCCATGATGGTAAACTTAGGAGTTGTTCACACACACACACCCATACCCACACTCACGCATACCACCACAAAATTAAAGGAAGAATGTACCATTTGCTTTGGAATAAGCTGAGTGCAATGGAGGAGGAGGCATACTGCTTCTGGCATTGCAGTAGCGCAGTACTTGTTAAGATAGCATAACTTCTAGCACAGAGAATCTGTGCTCTAGGATTATCATAGATAATAGCTTTGTCTAAAAGTATTTTGCAAGGGATGGTCACAATCAAGGTATTCACCTAAATTCTCCTAGTGAAGAGAGATCAACAATTGTTTCAGCAACTTTTTATTTTTATTTTTTTGAGACAGAGTCTTGCTCTGTCACCAGGCTCCAGGCTGGAGTGCAGTGGTGTGATATTGGCTCACTGGAACCTCCGCCTCCTGGGTTCAAGCAGTTCTCTTGCCTCAGCCTCCCGAGTAGCCGGGACTACAGGTGTGCGCCACCACGCCCAGCTAATTTTTTTTTGTATTTTTAGTAGAGAGGGGGTTTCACCATATTGTCCAGGATGGTCTCCATCTCTTGACCTTGTGATCGACCCACCTTGGTCTCCCCAAGTGCTGGGATTACAGGCATGAGCCACTGCGCCTGGCCTCAGCAACTTTTTAATTATTTTGAGGGATCATTATTAATGTTAAGGTAAATACAGATTCCGAGAAAGCCTAAATTCCAAGAATACTTAACTTTTGAGAAATTAGCTCAGTATTTTAATTTTACAAATACGTTAATATAGAGTAACTCAATTTTTTAAGAGGTGTTGGAAAACTCTCCTATTACCCATGAGGGTTGGCAACTTTAAAAGCTTTAAGAACAAACAGTGCTGGGCAAGGTGGCACATGCCTGTAGTCTCAGCTACTTTGAGGCTAAAATGGGGGAGGATCACTTGATTCCAGGAGTTGTTCGAGGCTCTAGTGCATCATGATTATGCCCGTGAATAGCCACTGTATTCCAGCCTGGGTAACATAGTGAGATTCTCTCTCTGTCTCACGCGTGCATGTGCGCGCGCGCGCGTGCACACACACACACACACACACACACACACACACACACACATCGTATATGCATTTGATATTTTGTTTCTTTAATATAAAGATTAATTTCCTAATTGATACTTACTATATAACTTTAAACCATTCATAGTTATTGCAAATGTATGAGGTCATTTCTATTTCCCTTACTGGTTTTGTTGCTAGGGAAGTGATATAGCTGGTTGTCATTTTTAACAGCCAACATGAGATCATGTCTGTTTCCATGCCAACAGATCCTCTTGGGAGAGTATATTCAATAAAAGCTCGGAGGTGGTGACTCCTTTGCAGCTCCAGTGTTGCCAGCGCCTGGTAGAGCTTTGTAAACAGTGCCTGCTAGTGGTTTACAAATATGCAACTGACACAAGAGGATCACTCTCAGGCATTGGTCCTGACTGGGGTAATTCCAGGTACTTGTTCACATTCTCTAACCCTTGAGAGTTTTATATAAAGTAATGCTAAAACACAGTTTGAAATTGAGAGTGCTTTTTTATTTATATGACTAGGAAAAAAGCTAAAGACTGAAAATTCATACGTGCTATTATCTGCAAAATATTTTTAATCAGTACAGTCTTTACCTTTAAGGGATTGAACAAGGACAGCAATCATGAATATAAAGGTGATAAAACATACTTGAAAATGAAGTTATTTGACTTATATACTTTCACATTCAAAAGTTCAGAGCAAGAGCATCCAAAATTTGGTAATATATTTAACTTTTGTTCTCCAATAGAGTTATTTCAATATTTATCCTTGAGCTTACTACAGTTGGGAAGATACCTTTGGTTTCATTTTTATTGTTCAATTTACTTCTGCTATTTCCTTCATTACCATATATGTAGAAGGTAAAATTTTGTCAAGCTATTTGAAAAATGAGTTTCATAAATTAACAGTTGAAATAGTTTTCCAAAAAACATGAAAAACAATATTGCTTTTAAGCTACAAAAATACAGAGTAAAGAAAGTACCTTTTAGCATTTCTCAAGACAACTATACTTCCCATTAAAAATAAAGATGAATGTGTAACTTTAGTTTTAGTATTTGTAAGATGTAGTGCTATTCAGGATAGAAGAAATTAAGCCACGACTTTGAAAAACTAAGCCAGAGTCAAAAAAGTCAGTGAATAGTTGAATAAACAATGAGGGCCGGGCATGGTGGCTCATGCCTGTAATTCCAGTACTTTGGGAGGCCGAGGCAGTCCGGGCATGGTGGTGCATGCCTATAATCCCAGCTACTCAGGAGGCTGAGGCAGGAGAATTGCTTGTACCCAGGAGGCGGAGATTGAGGTTGTGACGGGCGGAAATCACAGCATTGCCCTCCAGCGCTTCAGCCTGGGCAACAAGAGCGAAACTCCATTCCAAAAAAAAAAAAAAAAAAAAAAAAAAAATGAGGAAAATGGAACCACTATAGCTTGGATTTTCTTTTCTTGAAAACACCTAGAAATTGATCTGTTTATTTAAAAAAATCTGAGGGAGTATAATAAAGCTAACTTTATTGCAAATGTGAGCTGTAACAGCAGAGTGGCTCAGAATATTTTTAATAGAAAGTATTGAGACATTTTAAATATTTGTTTGTCTTGGATTCTGTCATTGTAATGTTACGGGACATTTAACCGGTTTTAACTCTTCTACAAATAGAAGCGGGTTGATCACAATAATAGTAGTGGTAAAAGTAACCATTAATAAAAATATTTAAATATCAAAGTTATATTCTGCAGTTTTAATGGTTTGAATGGAGCAAATTATTGCAATAAAACTCTTAATACTTTTCATTAATACTTTTGTATGATTTAAAAGAATGATAGCCATTTTTGGACATCATACTATATAAATGAAGAACCTTCTTGTTAAGGGGTGATACTCTGAGAGCACAGTCAGGAAAATCTTAAATTTCAGTCTAAGAAGGAATTCCTTGAGATTCTTTAATATCACTTCTACAATTCTAGATTTCGTAAACTAATTTCCATTGATGGATCTTGTAGCTTTTGTGGGTACACAAAATAGGATGAGTCTTCTTGGTTACATTGGAGGAAAAAGGTAAGCTTTATGGTTGCTTCAGACTTTTTTATTTTCTTCCCCCGCTGGTGGTCAAAAGAGATATTCCCATCCATGGAATCTTGACTTCTGGATTTCTGACAAATGGCCAAGATGGCCCCAGTGTTATGATTATAATCATTTTGAGATGTCAGTAAATACACTTTCATTCCTGCCAAAGTTCAGAACCGTTTGATAGAGAAATACTGGAGTTAGATATATGGTCATCATCTGTTATTCTGTTACTCTACAGTGCTATTACTGATAAAAGTTACAATGGGGAACATGGTGTAGATGTGAGCCAAGTGAGTTTTCTAATACTGAATTTTGGAATTAAACTTACCTATCCTGTCAAAGGGAGAGCAGAATCAATGCAAACCTTCCACTGTCACTAGCCCATAAAGTCTAGTTCCTTTAGCATTGGCAGGAGAGTAAGAAAAGATGCATCCTCGGCCGGGCGCGGTGGCTCAAGCCTGTAATCCCAGCACTTTGGGAGGCCGAGGCGGGTGGATCACGAGGTCGAGAGATCGAGACCATCCTGGTCAACGTGGTGAAACCCCGTCTCTACTAAAAATACAAAAAATTAGCTGGGCATGGTGGCGCGTGCCTATAATCCCAGCTACTCAGGAGGCTGAGGCAGGAGAATTGCCTGAACCCAGGAGGCGGAGGTTGCGGTGAGCCGAGATCGTGCCATTGCACTCCAGCCTGGGTAACGAGCGACATTCTGTCTAAAAAAAAAAAAAAAAAAAAAGAAAAGATGCATCCTCACTGCAGAAAGGCAGAGCCAGAAAGACAAAAGAGGCTGAGCCAAGCATGCCTGTTTTCTTCTTTTAAATCCACAAATCATATAATTTGGTTCTGGTAAGAGGCCAGGAAGTTCACAGTAGTGAAATTCTTCTATACTGGAATGCAAGGAGCAAAGGGATAAACATTTCTCCCTAATATCTAGCTGTTAAAACCCAAGTTAATGTCACATTAATTTAACAACATGTAAAAAGTGGCCATATTACTTTTCCTCACAGTAAGAAACAAACTCTTTAGCATTTTACTTAAATGTAGAAGTCACATTCTGCATTTTATTGTAGAATAAATTGAAGATTGACACATTTTATTTATGAAGTATACTTGATAATATGAATTTATATTTATAATATTTACAAATAAATATACCTAATATAAATAATTTATGAGGTACACCTAAATAATTTATGAGGAGATTTAACTTTGGTTAATTTGTTTATAAAAGTAAAACAGATGGAAAATAGAACTAACCTCAGACAGGTTTATGGACCAGGTTTATCTTTACCAAAGATCTATAGGATATTTCTTAAGGGGATTTAAAGAGTATATGGCATCTATTACATGGAAGAGAGTGGCCTTCAACTTTGCAGTCTCAGAAAAAATAATATATGCATATCAAATGAAAGACATTTCTCAGAGATGGACTCATAATAACTTTGAGCAAATAGAACTGTGTATCTAAAGCCAGGTGGTCAGTTAGAAATACACATATATCTCTCCAGGATACTAGAGTTCTTGAGACCTGCTCAATATTCCACTGTACCTAGGCTTAATTGGGAAGCTTTGGGATTTCTGCCACTTTTGAGCCTCAGCATTTCTGGGTTTCTACCTTTCATGTGCCGAGCTTTCACATAAGCTCATTTCATGAGGGGTTCCATAGCTAAAACACATTTTAAAAACTACCAAGTTAGCATTTCTGCTTTTGGTAATAGAACATTAAATATTTGGATAAATCCTGCATCTGATAGTAACTAGAAAAGCTGTACAAAATACCACATTTGCTCGAAAGTACTTGTTAACCTGGTACCTGTTAGTGAGTACTTGTTAGTGCCAAGCAGTGCTTTTGACAGTCTTGTCAAAAGCCGACGGGATAAAATAGGAGCTCAGGGTCTGCTAAAGATGGGGGCTGTTGTCAACACTCTAGATTCCTAGGAGTAACAATGCTCGCGATGGCTTGCAAAGCAAAAGATGACAGAAATGAAAAGGAGATAAATTTACAACCCTTGAGGAAGATTTAATAAACATTTTTCAGAAAAAAACTCAGTAAAGACATAAATTTTTTAAGAATAGAATTAACAGACTTAACTGTCATATACAGAAGTAGATGTATTAACTTCAGAATTCAGTATATCAGGCACAATAGGAAATTTTACAAAATCAACCATATAGTGGAATTTAAAAAAAAACAAATTTCAAAGATTTCAGAAGATTGAAATTATACAGAGAACTTTTTCTGACCAAATGCCTTTAAGCTGGAAAACAATAGAAAAATATAAACAGAATAACTATGCTTTGGAAAGTCAAAAAATATACTTTTAAATAATCCATGAATCAAATAAGAGATTATAATGGACATAAGAAAATATTTTGAACTGAGTGATAAAGCTATTAGAAATAAAACTTGTAGAATATGGCTAAATCAGTAATATAGGGATATTTATAGATTTAAATGAATATATTAGGAAAAAGGAAAGGCAAACATTAAATCTAAGCATTCATTTTTAGAGGTAACAAAATAGCATTTAAATAAACCCAAAGAATACAGGAAAAAAATAAATAATAAAAATAGAAGAAATTAATGACATAATGAAACAAACATAGAATAAAGAAGATAAACACAGCCAAAAGCAGATTTTAGAAAATGCTAACAAAATTGATAAACACCTGGTGAGATTGATAAAGAATATCTCATAGATTGGAAAATAGAATAGATGTTACTAGAGGTAGGAAGGAAGGGAAAATGAGGCTTTAGTACTTAAAAGGATAAAGAGTTTCTGTTTGAAATGATGAAAAAGTTCTGACATTAATGGGATGGTTACACAACATTGTGAATGTACTTAATGCACTGAATTGTACAATTTAAAATGGTAAGAAAAACACTAATAGTACATTTCATGTTCTATATTTCATTACAATGTAAATATTTTAAAAACACAGGACAAACAAACATTCTGATGAACTTTATTTACCCTGAATTTTCCAAATGGGGTCTTAAAATTGCTCTGGGGAAATCAGGGGTCCTGGTCTTAACTCCAGGAAGAGGAAACGGAAGGTGAGTGTAGCTTATGTTTTTCAGGTTTAATTTCTACCAGTTTTGAAATGCCTCATATTCTAGAGATCCTCCACGGTCAGCAATAAATTGGTACATGAAAGACAGACTAATTCTGTATCAATCAGGAATTACATAAATATGGGCTCTATGTTTGTATTTAATATAATGGTTATGTAAAGATATACACACCTGCCTTAGGGATGAGAAGGATGAGGAGTGAGGCTATGAAACGAATAGGGTAGTCTGAGGTATTTCTCCTTGACATGAGTTAGCAATGAGCCATTTTAGGTAGAAAAGAAAGTAAAGAATAAGGTAGAAAAATAAGCTGTGCACTTACCACATTTTTTTTTTTTGGCGCTTAACACAAATTCTTTAATCTATAAGCCCACTTCCTTGAGATAGTCTTCTTGCTTAAAAAAAAAATCAAATTATTTAACTTCATTGCAAGGAACATTTCAAAAACAATCATCAATGTTCAGCTAGTGTGGGATCTCCCAAGACATATTAATGGAGATATTAAAGTAAATAATCCATTGTATTTCTCTGCAGCACTTTAAAATATCCTACAGGATTTGTATTAGGGATGCAAAGTGTTTCTTCCAATGTAATTTTATATGCTTTTTCTTAGTTCATGCTGAACTTCTTTTCAAGTCTTAAAAAAAAGTTTCATATTTTTCTGTGCTATTAAAAAGTTTAGGTTTGTGGCATGATAATCTTTCTGCTTTCTAGATTATTTTATACTTCATATTTCTGGGAAAATGAGTATAATAATTATACCCATTAGTTTTAAAACCGAAATTAATATCCAAAGATAATTATGTACAATTGTCATGACAGTATAGTGTGGTTGCTAGGAGCTCTGCTGCTGGAGCTAGCCTGCATGGATTTGAATCCTGGCTCTGCCACCTCCTGGGTAGGAGACCCTGAGCAAGGCATTTGACCCTGGTATGCTTCATAAAGTTTATTTGTCTGTAAAATGGAGCTGACAATAATATCTACCACATAGAATTGTTATGAGAACTAAATGAGTTGATATCTGTAAAGCAATTACAATAGTGTTGGGCACATGGAAAACACTATTATTTAAATATTTGTTCTGTAAAATAGTGTAAGTTAATTGTGATCCTGGACTTTTTGCTTTTATTTTTTCATGTGTGAAATACTGATCTTTATCTCAAAAGTATATGTAAATGAAATGTCAGTAGCAACTATTGCTTGGAAAGTCTTTGAAAGAAAGTTGGTAGAAGTTACTGTTTACTGTGTAATTACCAGTACTATCAGAATGCATCTTCAGTAGAAGGTAGAATAACTCTCAACTTATATGGAATAGTGGATTTTGATCAAACACCTTGTTTTCTTTTGCAGTTTTGCCCTAGATAGGAAGGATAGCTTTTTCATGGCAGAAGATATCGGATCAATCATCATGACCCCACCAATTGTTGACATAATAATTAATCCATATAAATTACCCAAGTGATATTAAGAAAATAATTTATATAATCTGTGATGTGAGAAATCACTTGTTTCATTATTCATGACCTGTAATGCAATTTTGATTTAATTTGGTTTGTTTTATATTATTTTACTGCTCTATTAACTTAATGATTTGAGTAATTATAGTTTGTGATATTAGGTAATAGGTTTAGAAGATATTAGATAATTCATGATAAAATGTTTATGGATATTATAGAAAGTTCTGCTATTTTAATCTGAATGCTGTATTTAGTTTGATTATAATGAATTTCTTTTCTTTCTACATAATTCATATAAAACAACTATAAATATAATTTTCCATTGATGCAGGATTATCATAGTTATTAGTATTATTTAACATAGAATAGACTGCTAATAGTGCCCTAGACCCTCTGTTTTTCATGTATCTATGGGAGTATGATACTGTCCCTGGAGGATTCTAATGTCAAATGAAGAAAATAAAAGATATGATTCCATTCCATTGTTTATTTCCCAAGACTACTGCTAATTACAAATCTCCTTATATTGCTGCTTCTGCTCTTAGAAATTCCTCCTAAGTATCTTTGTCCTGACTTTATAGCATTTCCTTCTCATCATTAGTAGGACTTACATTTCAAATAGTGTTGTTTTCATTTGTTCATGTGGATTTCCTTGACCATTTCTCTCTAGACATATATAGATTGGACTGGCCTAATGCTAATCAAGATTTTTCACAGGAAAACAGCTTCTACAGGTGCACAATCTCTTACTTGCAATTCCTAATTTTCAAAGCTTTGAAAACTTGAAAAATCAGGTAACCCGTTTGAGACCATCCTGGCTAACGTGGTGAAACCCCATCTCTACTAAAAATATTAAAAAAAAATTAGCCGGGTGTGGTGGCACTCGCCTGTAATCCCAACTACTTAGGAGGCTGAGGGAGGAGAATTGCTTGAACCCGGGAGGCAGAGGTTGCAGTGAGCCAAGATCATACCACTGCACTCCAGCCTGGGTGACAGAGTGAGACTCCGTCTCAAAAAAAAAGAAAAAAGGTAGCTCATATGCTGGCAAATCTGACCTGAACTGACATGAAGTTATTTGTAGTCTTTATCTGATTTATTGTGAATATTAATACAATTTACTACAGAAATGTTAATGGTTTGTTTACAAGATGCTGCTCCAAGGCCCTGATGGAGGTGTTATACAGTAATATACATATTACTATATAATATAGTATATATAATGTGCTATATTGTCTTTCTAAAATCTGAAAAAAAACCCACATTTTTGAAATACATTTGGCCATATGTACATATAGTATTTCATATAATGTAATATTTCATATAATGTAATGTAATGTATAGTATTTCATAATGTATTTCATATAATGAAATACATTTGGCTATATGTTGCATATACAGGTTATATGCAACCTGTAATCATGATTGTTTTTCATATTCTGTAATCATAAGCACTCGATGGCCAAAGAATATAAAATTTATATTCTAATTAGGAATGTTAATCTTTAACTTTTTCTATTAGATTACCTGTAATAGTAATAATACATCAATGATCTATTATTAAATTATAATCAGTGGTTCTGCCTCCCTTGAAACAAACAATTATTGTTAATATAGCTAGTCAAAGTCTCAAATCACATGTTTTAAAGAAATATTTGACTGACTCCACATATTACTTCCAAGGACTGATGATGAATTCTAAATTAACATTAGCCACATGAACAGTTTCACAGCATTTGAGTACAATGGCTCTTTATGGGAAGTCTTGGGATACTAATATCATATATTGTATCTATATATGATTCTTCTCTCCTTTCCTACAGTCTGGGGGAGGAAATCTTTTTATATGAATTGCATTTTTGTTACAGTAACATTTCTTATATAGAATATGTAAATTGCTAACCACATAATCCTTTAGTGAGAGAGTTAGTTATAATTTGCTTGTACAAATCTAATTTGGTAACTATCACTTTTAGGTATTTACTACCAGGGAGTACCCAGTTCTTCTTGAGAACACCGACCTACAACTTGAAGTACAATTCACCTGGAATGACTCGCTCCAATGTCTTGTTTACATCCAGATATGGCCATTTGTGAAACAGAAGGGAAGACTGCCATTGGTTATACATAATAGCAATTCATTTTTTTCCCCTGAAGTTGAACATGCAAAGAACATGACCATTAAGTGCTGTTTTATGTATATAAGACATATATATGTGTGAAAATATATACACATATGCACTCAAATAACATATATTTATTATATTAAATAATATATGAAAGAAGAATTAGCAGAAAATGGAATATAAGACTTAACCTTTCTGGAAATGTAATAAACCATGTTAAAATTGTTTACACAAATATCTGAATGTCTAGAACTTGCTAGGTTTATAATTAATTCCTTCCTACTAGAAATGTTATTTTTGCTGCAGAGTATATAAAAAAACTGATCTTGAAGATCCCATTACAGTGTTAAATTATTTTCTAGATAACATGCCTTTTGACATGAAAAAGGGTTTAGTATAATACCTTAAAAATTCTCATATATAGTAGCCATTTTAATTGAAACAAAAAGATTTAGAAACCTGTTGTTGCTCGATAAGATAAAGAAGTTTAAAACGGGTTTATCATTACTATAGCACACTGTAAAGTACTAGAAAAGTCATAACCTGATTTTCCAACCTTTTTATTTCTCTCTGTGGAAATTTTGCTGCTTGTAATAACACACATTTTCGGTAAGGATCTAGTGAGATCTATTATGTTCTAAAATGGAAGACAGGCCGGGTGCAGTGGCTCAGTAATCCCAGAACTTTGGGAGGCCGAGGTGGGTGGATCACCTGAAGTCAGGAGTTTGAGACTCGCCTGGCAACATGGTGAAACCCCGTCTCTACTAAAAATACAAAAATTGGCCATGGTGGTAAGCATCTGTAATCCCAGCTACTTGTGAGGCTGAGACAGGATTATCACTTGAACCTGGGAGGCAGAGGTTGCAGTGAGCCAAGATCGTGCCATTACACTCCAGCCTGGGTGACAAGAGTGAAACTCCATCTCATAAATAAATAAATAAATAAAATGAAGATAAAAAACAAAACAGAAGACAATCCAGTGGGTTAAAAATAAAATGTAAACTTTCATTTTTACTTTTCATAGAGAATCACATAAAGGAACAGAAAATGGTGGTAACAAAATCTTTCTATAAGGTTTTTATGTTTTATACCACTCATTTTTATTTGGAAAGTGTATCTTTGATGGGTTTAACATACGGTTAAATTCAGTTTCTCCTGTTTTGCAGAAGTTGGAGAGCTGACATTTTAGTGTTGTAGGATAATGAGACAAACTTATTTTTATAAATCTTTCAAGGTTGAAACCAACTTATATTGCAAAGTCTAATACAGTAGTTTCTCATTGCACCATAGAAAACAATTAAAGGATTGTGAATAGAATATTTTACTTACCACATATTACAAGTCATCACTGTACCCTTCAGGGTTTTTTAAGAAATCAAAACAGAGAACAAAGTGTTCTTCTTGTCCAAAATTATTGTGCAAAAGCTTCATAGCAGTTCCTTTTCTTGAATACAGTTTTTAAAACCAAGAATGAGCTTTGTTTTCCATAAAAATATAAGCAGCACTACCTTGACATTGAAATCATCAGTGCAACCATCACTTTTTAGAATTTATTTAAACTTCTTCCCTCAACAGTTTTATTTTCTCCCAGCTGCTAATTATTTTCCAAATTCATGAATGTTTTACCTCCTTTTTCTATTCTAAAAGCTATTTCAAGAAATGGCCCCGAAGCAGGAGAACTGAGAGGGGCGAGTTGGCCTGGTTTAATTCACAGCCGGAATAATTGGCAACCCAAAGTTATAAGTTAGATGTATTTTGCTTTTCAAGCCATCTTCTGAGTCTTTTTAGCTGAAATAATTTGTTTCTTTCCTAAAT